TATACGTGGAATGAATTTGCATATTACGACCATTCGGGGTACCTGCGTTCAACGACGAATAAGAATAATAAAAAAAATAATAATAAAAAAAGTATTTCTTCCCACAAGCGTTTCACTCTAATCGCGTTTTCGTGTCTCCATTTCTCATTTCTTCTTTCTCTCTACTTCTCTAGCTCTAGTTCTATTTTCTTATTAATTTTCTATCCTCCTTTTTTTTTTTTTCTTTCTTTTCTTCTTATCTTCGGTCCGACCGACAACGTCAGTTCTTCTAAAGTAAAATTTTACTACTAACTTTTATCTTTTTCTTTCATTTCTTTTTTTTTCTTTTTTTTTTTTTTTTTTTATTAATTTTTTTTGTAAGGCTCACAAGCTATTCATTTCTGTCGGTTATGTTTACAAAGTGAAGAAAACTTAGCGTTCAATTCAGATGGAATATTTTCATTCTCCTATCCTTTTACCTTTCTTCTTTCTCGTTTCTTTGCTAATTTTTTGTTAAAAAAAAAAAAAAAAAGGAATATACGAAAAATCAGGTAAAAGAAAAAGGCGAGGGGTTTCGTGGGAATGAAACAAAATTCTTTTTAAAGAGAGAAGGATCTTTGCGGCTTATGAAAAGAAGAGCAGGATGAAAAATGTGTTCGTCAGTGTGGAGGAAGAAGAAAAAAAAAGAATAAAAAGAATTAAAAAATCTTACGCGAGTCATGTTTTCACAAAAGAGAAATTTAATATTCTTTTCATTCGTTATTGTTTCGTCGCGTTAGATTTTTCATTGATTTTAATATAATAATATGTCTTTTCTTCTTTATTTTATTTATTATTAATATTGTTAGAAATTTTTTAAATTTTAATTAATGGTAAGGGAGAGATATCACGGAATTACTAAAACGACATTATTTATTCTATATATAAGTAAATATATTTACAAATTTATCTCATCAACTCTGTCATATAAAAATTAATATTTTGTTTCTACATGGATATAAAAAAAAAAAAAGGGGAGGAAAAAATTACCAAGCAATTCTGTAAAATTTAAAGAACCTATTAAAAAGTAAAAAGAAATTTTTATCTAACGAGAAAATTGAACAACGCAATTAAACGAAGTATAATTTATCAGCGATATACATATTCATACGAGATTTTTTATTCATGAAAATATTTATGTATTCGAACATTTAAAAATGATCGATTTTCTTACACTATAAATACAATCGTTTGAAATGAACAGTTTATTTTTTCTTACAAGCTTTCAACGCTCGAGGATTCATAAAATGTTTCAAGTCAATATAATATCTGTTAATTATCATGTACAATTAATTCGTTCTCAATTGATAATCACCATTCTGCGTAATGTAACGAACCCAGGGTAAGGCTTGATAGCCACTCTTTTCAATGATTTTCAAATATCTCACTTGAATTCCGGAGGTAGTGAAGTAGGGAATTTCAAATTTCACTTGAATAGGTGGTTTACCTTCTATGTCTTCACCAACCACAGATGGCAGACCAAAATGTGCTCTCATTAAATATTCTTTCCCACCTGGGAAGGATTTAATGAACCAAGTAATTGCACTTTGTTCCGGTGAGTACTTAACACTGCCAATAGTTGTTTTAAATTTAGGAGAATCTGCGTCGTTCGGAACAGGTATTACTATTTCAACATTGTTTGCCGTAGACCTACGTTTAAATTGCGATCTAGCCTTAATCATATATTCTACTCTACTATGGGCATGTCTTTCTATTACAGATTCGATCCAAATTAAAGGTTTAACGTGAGTGTTCAATCTGTAAGACATCAATTCGAACTCTCCATCCGGTGGTATAAAAGAAATGGTTCTGTCATTTTCAAACCTTGACAGCCTTACGCACTGATGAAACTTAACATCTTCTAACTCTACCGACTTGGACTTACCACGTCCAGTTGATTCGAATAATACTTTATCATTCAGACCTAATCTCAATTCTGGCATTCCAGATAAGTACACTCTCATTTTTATGGCACCAACTATTTCTGAACTCAATACGTTTCCATTAGCATTAGCCAGAAGGTTAACGGATTCAATTACATCCAGAAAGACTTCGTTCTTACGATACTTAATACCTTCTGATCTCCATGAAACAGCATTAGTCACAGCCATAGGAATTCTTGGTTGTATTTCTAATTTATGTCCCTCTTGCGTAATGTACTCTTGCAATATTTTACTATCTGTTGTCTGAGGATAACCAAAATCTAATAACTCATCGAGAAGCTCATAAATGACTACGAAGTTATCCCTTATACTTTCTTCTTCCAATTCTTTAAAATATTCTTGCATAACTTGTACCATTTTATGCAAAAACACAAATACCAAAGAAATATTAGCATTCTTCCTAGTCATCGATACAATATAAAGATTATTATATTTAATGTAAGCGTATGTACATTCCGGTATCTGTATTATCGGTGTTAGATTGCCTTCCTCTTCTCTCTCCATTACCAAAGACATAAACTTCTCGATTACTCCAGGTTCTATGTCTCCACGGTAATTGCGAGATATCAACACCTTGCCCTTCACATCCAATATGTATATAGCTGACGTAGACATCTTAAAGTGATTAAATTCAAATCAAAGGTATTCACTCAAATATTCATTACACAATAGCATATATAAAGTGTATTTATAGGTTATGTGCAGCATAGATAAAGCATATTCTTCATTAAATAAGATCAATATTAACAAAAAAAGAACTGTCTATTACTATTGTCTTATCAATAACATAAAGAGTATTTATAGGTTATATGCAATACAGGTAAAATGCATTCTTAATTAAATAAGATAAATCCTCAACGAAAAAATTGTATAATATTACTTTTTTATGAATAATGCATGAAGTGCGTTTATAATTTATGTTCAGCACATAGAAAAAAATTTACTTTTAATTAAATATAATAAATATTTTAATTTTATTTATATTACTCACGTTCACAGTTCAGTTTCTTGATACTTGAAAACTTTATCGTAACCGTTTAATTGTAAATAAAAATAAATAAAGAAAAAAGACATTAAAATTGTATTAAGTCTTAAATCGAATTAAGAAAGAGAAGCTTTAGAAAAACACTCCCATCCCAACTTTCGGCGATGCACGCTGAACTGCCACCGTGGATGCACTCGACGTTATGAAGCTGAAATTCGATATTTCTTCTGCGCATGCTCGAGTTATCTCGAGATATCGATCGTCAAACTTCCACGATATTTCAAACTTTGAAAATTTAAGCTATGCTACTTCATTAATATCTCTAACTACATAAGTAGTGATATAATTTGAATAACTTTTGATTTTTCATCTTTTTTTTTTTTAATCATCAATCATTCCTATAAAATACTTTATACCACGATCGGTAAAGAAGATTTAAATTTAAAAGAAATAAAATTTAGATACACAAATACGTGATCAATTCAATTAAATATTACATTTAAATAATTAATGTTTATATATTAATGTGTGTGTGTGTAAATTAACTTAATGTAAATATACTGATTCATAAAATACTATACATAAATGTATAAGAAATTATTGAACTAATGTATGAAAATGATATATGAATATATATCATTATGAGTAACATAAATGGGAAAACAAGTAAGGAAGGGTACAATAACGTTTGGTCTTTTCATAAGGAAAAGCGTTCTAATACTGTCAGAGTGTTACGATTTTAATTAAACTATTATTTACGATGGCATTCTGCGCACGACGTGTAACGACCGAAACCATAATTCGTGTCGCCAACGAAGGAGTTTCCTATTAAACAGAAAAAATAAAAAAAGAAAGAAAGAAAGAAAGAAAGAAAGAAAGAGAAAAAATAACAAGAAGAGAGGAAAAGAAAAAAAAGATAAACTAGAGCATCTAATTAATTCCATGTCATAACCGGATGTCAACGAAAGCTAAATAAAAGAAAATGGAAAACAATACGTTCATCTCGAACTCTCTCGTTTTTTGATTGACTTCGAAACGTTATCTCTATAGCTTTAATTATATTTAATATTTAATAATAATAAAATAATAATAAGAGATATTAATATTTTTTTGTATCCATTTAAAATTTATAATTAGAAATTTCGATTGAAGTATATCAATGACAATTATTCAAATTCCAAGTTAGAAATTTCTATTCTATGTAATCCAAACAAATTATTTATAACGAAATTGTTCCCTCTCTCTCTCTCTCTCTCTCTCTTTCTCTAATTCATATATTTTCTCTCCGTCATTATTTGTTATATCCTTCTTTGAAAATATGAGCGAAAGGAAACGATCTTACGAATCGATTTTATTTCTCGTCACGATTTCTACGAGTGTAACGTCAATCCGTACGATGAAGTGCCGGAATAGGAATTTGAGCGTTGCGCGTATCGGATCATGGCTTTATTCCGTTTCCATTGGTATTCGAACCGCAGTCTCTGGAGGTTTAGAGGGGTAGAATGAGGATGAAAATGGTGGAAGGGAAAAGAGGGAAGAGAATAAGCAGGTTATAGGTACCTACATACATTGGATAAACGAAAGTTAGAGCTGTCTAGGGAATCGGTGTGAACGATATAATTAAGAATTCGATTAAATTAGTAAATAGTGAAATACATATATAAATATATATATATAAAGATAAATTTAGATAAATAGAAGTAGATATAGATAATAAGGATCGATAACAGACGTTGAAAAGTTATTCCTTACCTTTTCGTTTATATAATCTGTAAGATAATAAAATTAGCCTTAAAAAGAGATAAAAATAACGGGAAAGTAAGAATAAATAACAAACTTTTTATTTTTCTATATAAAAAGAATAGTTAATAAAAAAAACAAAAATTGCATCGTTAAAAGTTCGAAATGTATAAAAGATAAAAAAAAAAAAAAAAGAATGAGAAATAAAAAGAAGTTAGGGAGGAGACAAGTAGTGATCAGACTTCATTATTTCGTACTTTCGAAAAGAATCGATCGATGATTACGACGACTAATGAATACCTTTTCTTTTACAGCTTCCAAAAGAAATAACGATCAAAAGGGGTTAACACGTTCCTGCTTATCCGATACTAGTAAAGGGTGGAAAAGATGCCTTAAGAGTTCCATGAAGAAAAACAAAAATAAAAGAGAAGAGAAGAGAAGGGGTAGAATAAGAAACATCAACGTTGGCACATCAGCAACGGTATAGTAGTGGCAACAGCATCACCAAGTGATAGAAAAAGCAAATGAGAGAGAGAGAGAGAGAAAGAGAAAGAGAAAGAGAAAGAAAGAGATAAGATAAAAATAAATGGAAAGAAAGGGTGGATAAAGAAAGTGGGGAGAAGAACGAAAGAAAGACAAACGTTGTTTTGCATAACAAAGTTACAAAGTGATTTGTTTCTCAACTGGGGGTTGTTGCTACATTCTCATTCTCTCTCTCTCTCTCTCTCTCTCTTTCTCTATTTCTCTGTCTCTCACACTGACACAGTTTTATTCAATAGGACTAACATTTTCTTCTTTCTCCCTATTTCTTTCTTTTTATCGATGTAGAAAAAGAATAATAAAAAGAGAGGAAACATTGTCGCCACAAGAGAGCAAGCAACCAGTTGCCAATAAGACAAGAAACCACACAACCAAGAAGGGTTGAGTCTGAGAAAGAGAGACAAAAAATACAAAGTCTGAGGAAGAAAAAGAAAAAGAAGGGTGAGGAGGAGTAAAAAGGAAGAAGAGGAGGAGGAATAGGAGGAAGAAAAGAAGTCAAGTTTCGTGGGGAGAACTTAGGGGTCTCGGTTATGCCACTGGCGTCGCTTCAGGTGGACGCCGGCAAATGCTGTCATGCTCCTGCCATGCCAACCGGCGGCCGAAAAAAGGCCGCTGGTCAAGCTGAGTACAATCGGAGGGACGAAGGACAATTTTCTTGTCAATCGATTAGCACCAAAGTTTCTATTATTTCTTTTCTTCATTTTTATTTTCTCGGCAAGCAACGTGAGGAATCGTGCGAACGCTGTCACGCGTTACGCATCGAGAATCGTCGAGACCAAAAGTGGACAAATTCGTGGAATACTTCAGGTAAAATATTTCTCTTTAATTAATTTTCATTTTATATTAATATTCAAGATAAATTGTATGTGTTTGTGTGGTATTAATGTGTTTTAGTTTTTTTTTGTTTTTTTTTTTTTTTTTAATTAAATACACATCACGCGGTACGGTAGGTAAATGAGTTCAATTGTTGGATGTATATTACTTATATTATAACACCTAATATGGGCTGGAGCCAATAAATCCATGCGGTATTTTTTCTTCAAAGCAAATAAGCGATAATAATCACATGGACTTATTGGTATACCGAATATAATAGCAAGTTAATAATTATCATGTATTATAGTATTTGTGGTTTTTTTTTATCACAATTACAGTATTCGTCACGATACAAGTTTGACATACGCTTGATTGGTTACATTTTATTTATCATAGGTTTTTTTCCTAATCCTTATCGGAATCAAGTTAATATTTTACAATCCAACTGATATGCTTCTATTTAATATCTCGTATCATAATTTACACTTGAAAAGAAAAAAACAAACATATTATAACCCATTAAACAAAAATCAAGAATAACAAATATTTTCATATAATAAAACAATAAAATAATAATATATACAAAAAGCTTTTCATAAACATATCTCTCTCTCTTTCTCTCTCTATAAATAACGACAAATAAATATTATCAAGATTTGAAATTAGGATGAAGACAAATTCGTGGCAATTCGTACGCATACGTCAAGCACGATATTTCGGTTTAAAACGCATTCGTCAGGAATTACGATTTACAACCTAGAACGTTTAACTCTTCCTTCCCCTCCCCCCACTCATTCTCTCTCTCTCTCTCTCTCTCTCTCATTTCTCTTTTATTCCACCACCAGATCCGTCTGGCATGTCTCTGTCTCTCGTCGCGTTAAATTCCGAGTGAAATATGAGCGATAGCGGTGACGATAGCAAGCCGAACGATATCGCTAGCGAACGATCGTTTCGCGTAAACGTTTTCGCATAAACGATATTGGTCAGATGGTCGTGAGTCGTTTTGACGTTTACCAGCATGTTTTGCGATCTCATTCGTGGTAGTTGTATTAGCAAAACCTTTCATATATCTATACAAGAATTGTATACGTGTGTACGTGGATTACTGGTACCTGCATACTAACACTAACACCATAACCACTAACACTACCACAACGGTCGGATGTTGTAACCTCGCATCAATTACGTCTAATAGATATTCGTATCGACGACGACGACAACGACGACAACTACAACTACAACGACAACGTGTAGTAAACGATCGACGATCGTTCGATGATTTTATAGTCGATCGCTGCATTGCGACGGAAGTAACATCGAACGCAGACGATTTCTTCCTGTAGAGAATGAGATAGAAGAGAGTGATATAGAAATAGAAAGGTTGGAGAAGGAAGGGTTGATATAGGGTGGGAGAGAGAGAGAGGTGGAGTAAACCAACCTTTCGCACTAGACGCGGAAAATAAATTCAAATCGAGCAAAACCGATCGGCCGTGGCGGTTCACCGATGATAACACGCGAACGATAGCTCGTCGACTAGTAGATCTCTTTCTAAAAATCGAAAAAATCGAGAAAAAAAAAAAAACGTTCGAACCCTGACTCCTGTAATACTTTTACATTCTATATTGATGCGAGTATATCTGTATCTATGGTATTATATGCGTATTTGTATGCGCGTATTTTTCTATCTGTAAAATCGTGTGTATCGTGATGATATGGCATCTTTAAAACTATGCGACGAAACCAGTTTTTATCGTTTTCGAAAACAACGGAGATATAGAGGATATTGTTGTTTGGAAGAATTTTGAAATATGAGAATGATAGGAAGACAAGGAAGTCTATAACGAAGTATTTATGATGGGTTTTCGAGTGATAGATCGTCGATAGTATCGTTGTCGATAAAGTCACATTTCTTTCTTGATTTATTGAAACTTTCTGTAATTATTTATTGTATGTACGATTGAAGGTAAGCACAATTTTTTTTTAGACGCCTTTTTATAGGCAACCCTTTATACACTTTGTCGGTAAATCTTTCTTTTCGTATTTTTATGATATTTTTTGTTTTTTTTTCTTTTTTTTTGTAAAGACATTTTAATTCTTGACACTTCATTTTTCTTTTAAGGATTAACAAACAAATAAATTTTGTATTAACAACTTAATATTAATATAATTAGCCAAAAGAATTGAATTATTTTTATCATAAAAAAAAAAAAAAAAGGGGGAATATCAATTTAATCATTTTAATCGTAGATAAATTCTATTTGGTAATTGAACAGAGTGTTTTCGTTTCTTCCATTTGATTAAGTTTTTCTTCCAACAATAATAATGTCTCATTAGACAGATGAATGTTTCTCGATGGATGGATAACGAGAAAAGTTTTTCACTTTCAACAGATCACTTCGCAGCGGCCTTTGAATTACTTTGTCGCGTAGTTTTCTAGGTAATCGTTTGAGTCGTCGTCGTCGTCGTCGTAGCAAACAACCGCAGCTAGACGATTTCTTTTTCTTTTTTTGGGGGGGGGGGGGGGGGGCATTTTCTTTCTCTCTTTCTGTACTTTGTTTATTTTTTTTGTTATTTTGTTTGTTATCTCTTCCGTTCGGCTCGTTGCACGGTCCATTTCGCGCGATCGAATATTCCGCGACTTATTCGAATAAACTACACCACCCTGTTCCCCCCTACCCATCATTCGCCGTAAAAAAAAAGAAGGGGAAAAAAGACAGAATGAGAAAATACGAGGCTATCAAGAAAACTAGCATACCTTACCGAATGCTTTTTATGCAGTGAAGTGAAGCGAATGAAACAGATCGATTCGTGATGTATCGTAGAAATAAGTTCTTGCGTTCGTTGAAGTATCTAATTTATCTAATTCCATTTACATACATTTTTCTTCTTTTTTCTATCTTCCCTTTTGTTTTGTTTTTTTCTTTTTTTTTTTCGATATATTTTATTTAAGTTTCTCGCGCACAATTTCCTAAATTCGTACATTTATCTTTATCACTTTCTCTATTCCTTACTGTATCTTCGATGGTTCAAACATTTGTCTCGTTACAATAAAATCCTGATAATAACAACAACAAAAATACTCATCTCCGATTTGAATATCCATCCTTTTTTTGCTTTTTATTTTAAAAGTTTCATTTGTTTCTTGGTTATTTTTTTTTTTTTTAATAATAAATCAAATCGTTTAATATTGCAATTTTCAATCATTTTTATCGATATCAAAAATATTGCACTTTTTCAATATACCAATTTTTATCCACATATATATATATCCTTATATATTATTATTCTATTCGCAAAAAAACACCATTGACCATAATTTACATTTTCCTTCAATCTTCCTTTATTTCTCAAGTTTATTTTCTCTCCCCTCTCCCCCCTCCCCTTACCCCCTTCTCATACCATTTGACTTTTCTATTTTCTTTCACTCATTCTTTATCACCTTCCATCATCATTCTTTTTTATTCTTATGAAATCGATGGGCGTCGATTACGAAACGTATCGTCGCTATCAAGCGAGATGACAGTAAAATCGAATAGCATTTTGAGAGATATCCGGTTACTTGACGCGCTCGCATTTTCAACCAACCCCTCTAAACCTCCTCCTCCTCCTCATCCTCCTCTTCCTACTCTTCTTCCTCCCTTCTTTCCACCACCGTTCTTTATCCCTTTTCTCTTTCTCTCTACCACCCTTCCTTCCCCCTCCGCCACCCCGCGCACCCTACCCGTCCGGACACGTTTTACTTGAAACGTTTCTCGATTTTACCCGGAAATTTCTCCATTTGGCTACGCTCTGACACACGGTATGTACATGCATACATAACGTACCTTCATACATACATACATACATACATATATAGTATATACATATATATACCGGCGCCAATTTGCTTTGTATTCGCTATTTTTCTGTTCGTCTCGTTTCACTCTTTCCATCTCTGTCTTTCTTTCTCTCTCTCTCTCTTTCTCTCTCTCTCTCTTTCTGTCTATTTCTCATCCTCTTCCTGCCAACCCCCACCCCCCTTGTCGTCACCACTACTACTATTACTACCAGCCTCGTTTCTCGCTCTCCTAACTCGACTGACTGCTTCCATAGCGTTTGCGCGGACCCAGAATTCTCTTCTCTTCACCTTTCGACTTCAATTTATTAAGGCTGCAAAAGAAACGGACTATTTCGTGCTTCCCTATTTTCACGTTGTTGAAATTTTTCTTACAAATACTCTCTCTCTCTCTCTCTCTCTCATTCATTCTGTCACTCTCTTGTTTTTAAATTAATAATATCATTTTTATACGTGAGAGTATATTAAATATTAACAATAATATTAATATAACGATCGAGAGTTAAATAAATTCATACAAATTGATATATCGATTAAAATGAATATTTAATCGGTAAACGAAAGTTTTGAAAATTAATTAAAGATTTAATATCATTTCTATATATATATATATGCTGACAATATATAATAAATTGAATTATTAGAGAAATTTTGAAAATTACAAAATGTATAATAACTTTACCCGAGAAACAATGATGATAATAATAATATAATATATTATTTGTAAATAATATGCGAATTGTTCGATTTCGTTTACAATGATTATTTATCGATTCACTCGTCTAATCTAATTTGACTAATCTATTTATTTTTATTGTTCTGTTTTTGTTATCTTTTTTCTGTTCAGATATAAAATAAAGAAACTCTTTCAAACGGTATAGCAATTAGTTTGAAATTTAATCAAAATAAAAAGAAAAATGTATCTCTTGCGTAGAAAGCACTATGGGCGATTTTAGTATATCAGAGGAATAACAAGGATATTCAATATAACATGAGTACCAACACCACCACCATCACGTTTTACGAGCTCTGATTGTGCCGATATAAAGTAAAACTCTCCTACGTCCTTCGAATGCAATACGCATGGGGAGCTTTAATTCGTCTGGTTTTCAGAAACTCCGGAGAACGATTCTATCCGAGCTTCGAACAATATTGC